CGACGGCTTCATCGCCGAGGCCTCATTCCCAAGTATCGGCGAGAATCTGGAACCGACGGCCAGCTCCTCCGCCTCGAAATTCTCCGCGTCTCTTGTGCTGCTCCGGGTGATCATCCCGCGCCGGAGCTTCTTGGAGTCGATAAAGCTGCATAACTCTGCCGCCCCAGGGAGTGCCCATTTGTTGGACCTCCCAGCCCTTTCTACCGCCTGCAATGCCAGCTCCGCTTCCTTTGGGGATGAGTAGACACGGCTCGCAACCGTGGCTTTCAGCGCCCGCAGGTCGAGCGTGGGCGGGATCCGTAGCGTTCCATCCAAATCAACCACGACACCGCGAAGGACCGCCTTTACCAAACCCATCTCTGTGAACCCTAAGTTTCAGGTTTATTCTCGAATATAATCTGGCATGTTGACCGTCCGATTTCCAGATATGCGACTTTGGACGGTGCTGGTTAACTTCGATCCAAAAATGTCGACTACGTACTTACTAGTTAACTAAGTCTCCATGGATTTTCAGACTCTCGCAAGCTCCGACTCCGGCATAGCTACACCAAAAAACTATTACTAGCAATACAGTCTTGATTGTATCTTTTTACCTGGCTTTTTTACCTGGCTTTTTCCTCGACTTCGACCTCGTCCTCAGTCAAAGTGGAAGAGCACAGTAGAGAATCCACTCTTGGAGCCGCTTCTAGTGCTCTTTCTTCACTCTCTTTGATACTCGTATTTGCACGCCTACGCGGCCCATGGTTATCCAGCTCATGCTCCGGCATAGCTGCACCAAAAATTTATTACTAAGAACACACGATTGATTTTATCTATCGTTTACCTGGCTCTGACTTCTCGGCCTCCATTTCCTCCCGAGTTTCCACGGACGTTTCTTCGACTTCGACCTCGTCCTCGGTGAAAGTGGAAGAGCACAGTAGAGAATCTGTTCCTCCATAGCTGCACCAAAAAACCATGACTAACAACACACTAATGATTTTATCTTTGTACCTGGCTCGGACTCCATTTCCTCCCGAGTTTCCACGGACGTTTCTTCGACTTCGACCTTGTCCTCGGTGAAAGTGGAAGAGCACAGTAGAGAATCCGCCTTTGGTTCGTGTTCCTCCATAGCTGCACCAAAAAACCATGACTAACAACACACTCTTGATTTTATCTTTGTACCTGGCTCGGACCCCATTTCCTCCCGAGTTTCCACGGACGTTTCTTCGACTTCGACCTCGTCCTCAGTGGACATATTTGCACGCCTACGCGGCCCATGGTTATCCAACTCGTGTTCCTCCGACTCCGCCATACCTGCAGCAAAAACATTATTACAAACACAGACTTGATTTATTTTCTACCTGGTAACGCCCCGTGCGTGCTTCTCCAACTCTCTAACTTGTCCCACTCCCTCATAGCTGCACAAAAAACAATGAGCAACACAAAAAGAGTTTGATTTTTATCTTCTACCTGCGTGGCATGATAGCGCCAGCACTCGCTCCGGAAATGGAGTGAAGAATACCTTCAACCGTGGTAGCATTGGTGGAGGGCAGCCAAACTTATGGAGGATCTTATGGTACTCCTTCTCTTCCTCCAGTCCTATGTAAGCCTGATTCTCAAGCATCCTGTTGATGGCTTCTTGTGTGTTTGCTGTGATCTGTACCTCTTCGTCGCTAAATCCTGGTGCCCTGCCGCTACGTAGCAAGGAGCTAAAGTCTCGGCGTACACCACTCGCATCATCAAACTGGAGAAAGTTGGGTGCTACAAGTCTCACAAGCCGAGCTGCAAACAGGTCCTCTTTCACCACTGTGAAACTGCGCCAGGGCGTCTAGAATCTTTCGGTGACCCTCTTGATACCTCAAATCGACATCCATTTTGCTGAATGGCTGGAACCACGTCTCCCATACCTGACCTGATGCAGCAAGCGCGTTGCATTCTTGGGAGTGCTCCAGAAGACCCTTAAAGGGTGCGTAGATCTTCTCTAACAGCTGCCGGCGCTGCATTGTCTCTCGATCGCTATCGCTGCCCTATTTGGCGAAGTAGCCCTAGAATCGCTCAAATGATCCATTTGGCGGGAAAAATTACTGTAGGGCAAGCTCTGTCAGCCCTAATTTGACAACAATAATTACATTTTCCCCAAATATATAAGTTTCCCCTTTGGAATTTTCATAACAATAACAAAATAAATATGTTAACGATAATTTTATAATATACAACAATAATATTAAGATACACAAAATTGCTAGTATGATTTGTCAGAAGTGTTAGTTTACAATCCAAAGCAGCAAGGAAGGAAAAGAGAAAGAAAACAAAGAAGATGAAGGTCACGCATAGATGATAGATCAAGCAGCAGCATTTGCATTTAAAAAAAAAATTTATTGCAAAAATATGTGCATGTATACTAAAATATTCATAATGTTTAAATTTGTGATTTTTAATTTGTAGAAACTTTATATTCAGTCATGACTCTAGAATTTGATAAACTATTATTATAGTATATTAAATTCTATATTCATGACTGATAATATCACAGTGAAAAAAACTTTTTTTGTAAAACTATAATAATAATAATAACAAACCATCCTTTAACACCCTTTCTTTATATCTTCACCCAAAACATAAACTATATTGCTACAAACAATCTATGTATGATTACAAGTGTTAGTTTACAATCCAAAGCAGCGAGGAAGGAAAAGAAAGAATAAAACAAAGAAGATGAAAAACGAAGGTGGTCAACACATTGAGAGGATAGATCAAGCAGCAGCAGTGGCATGAGAATCAAAGCCCTTGAGACTGGGACTCCTCTGGGCGTAAAAGGCCGACTTTGGATTCGAGGCAGCTCTCATGGATCCCGAGTGAGCCAGCGCTCCGCCTCCTCCTCCGTGTTCGTGAAACGAGAGCTTCCGGCGAGCGCCCAGCACCAAATCTCTCTCCGGAGTTCCCGGACGAAGCCTGGGAGTGCTGTGAGACCTCGCCTTGGCTCGAGCCGACTCGGTGGCGGCCATGTAGTTTGGAACCATGGCGACGTTGGACGAGGCCGCCGGGGAGATACAATTCTCGATGCTCTCGTCGTCGCGGATGGAGCTGGCCGCGATGCTCGACTTGTTTGCGAAGCGAGCGAAAGCTCCCACCGGCAAGCTGGGAGTGCTGCGAACCGTGGAGGCAACGCTGTTTTGATCGTCGTTGGCGATGATGGCGGAGGCGGCGGTGTTGAGCAGCGCGGTTCGTAGGCTCCGGGGGCTCACTCCCGAGGAGCGGAGGTGGTGCTTCTTTGGAGTCTGGGTTCCCGGTGTCCCGGGGTTGGTGGTGGAGATGTTTCGGAGGTTTGGCGATGGTGATGACTTTCGAGAGGATGATCTGAGTTGCTGTTGTTGCTGCTGCTGCTGCTGCTGGTGCTGGAGGAGGAGGAGCTCGGCCTCGTCTTGAGGACTGACTTTGCTCTCCCATGGCCGAGCTGCCATCCATCTCTCCATCCAGCTCCATCCCCAGTGTGGCTTGTCGGAATCGTAGTCCATGAGGAGCTGCGCATCGCCATCTTTCCATAACTGTGACAAGAGCACGAGAGAGAGAGAGAGAGAGAGAGAGAGAGAGATCAAAACTTTGCAAGCTAACAGGACGAAAACAGTGGTCGATCGGAAGAACTTACCTGATGTGAGAAGGCATAAGCTAGCGCTCGCTCGCGTTTGATGGCAGCTTCTTGGCGAGTTTGCATTTTTGCCTGGAGCTCCTGCGTTGTCTGGGTACTGTCGTTCCAGCCGCTTGTATCCACGGCCTGGAACACCAAGAAACAAGCTAAGCAAGACTAGAAGTTTGGATCCAGAGAGCTCACCATGGATGGTTTGAGAAGGAGATCTTCTTGCTTCCTTCCTTCCTCGGACAGGCTGATCCTCCTGGCTCGCACTTTAGCTTGCACTCGCACCAAAGCTTGCATACAACGCAAAGTTGTCACTGCTTGGCGCCTCACCGAGTGGCCACGCACTAAAGCTTGCAGACGCACCAATCCTTTGAGCGCTCGCAAAGCTCGCCGTGCCTGCCAATCAATCCACAAATCAAGAACAGCGAAAGAAAGTTCTATACTGTATCATCATCTTTCTTTCACGTAGGAAGACAGGAATGGAGGACTCGCGAGTGCTTACCAGGTAGCCTCGAAAGGCAGTCTGGATTTTTATGGCGGCCCAGTCCTCGCTCCTGCGCGATCCAGTGAGGCGGACCACCGCGGCAGCGGCTTGAGCAGCAGCCACGGCGGCCTCGGCAGCGGCGGCGGTGGCGACAGCCACGGCCATGGCGTGCTTGCTCTGCTGTTCTTCCGCCTGGATCAATGGAGGCTTGCTGGCGTTGCTCCCTCCGCGGCGGGAAGATCTGCGAAATCCCCATCGCTTCTTCTCCTTTTGGACTACATCGATCTATCCAGAGAGACAGAGAACGTTTAGTTTCCATGAGAGATCGTTGCGAGAAGACGAAGACGACACATCATTCACCAGTATAGTCATTCCTCGATGCTTTAGATCCAGAGAGAAAAGATGGTCGGGGATGCTCTATACGTACCGGATCAGGATGGAGCGCGGGGCTCGCATTCTTGCTCGAATCGTCCTTAGAAGGCGAGGAAGAAGACGATCTAAACGCCTTTTTGACGGCAGAGAACCAGGTGCTCCCACCCTTTTTGCCTCCCATGGATTCCTACGATTCTGGAGGCACAGACACGCACAGGGCACCCTCAGATTCACACCCAAGCGCTCAGATTCCGAGCGAATTCGGCAGATCTAGCTCCATTCCAGCCACTGCTCTGTTTCCCACTCGCGATTGCGCTGGTGGGCGCGCCCGATTCGGCGCCAATCGCCGGCCGCGGCCTCGACCCACGACAGAGCAGCGGGAATGCGAGCGATTCGCGCGAAAAACTGCACAGCCCAGCTCCTAGATTGATGGCATGGGATTGTTACCTCGCATTGCGGCCTCACGACTCCCAGAGCAGTGGAGGTGGCTCCTCTGGTTCCTCACACGCCATGGCCAGCCAAATATTCTCTTTACAATGCTGCTGCTCGCTGCCCTACTGCCATCTCCTTCATTTCGTGGAGCTTGTTACTGGAGCATTCACCTTTTTCCTTCCTTCTCTTAAATAATTTTCTTTCTTCCACTTCTTTGCTATTAAGAAAGATGTCAATCAAGGTCGTTATTTCGTCCCTCTGTCTGTACGGACTTAAGATTATCTTGTTTCCAAAGGCTTGTTTGGCTTTGTAAATTGCAATGATTAAAATGCCCATGTGACCAACAGCTATGATGGGTACTGCACTGTTCATCTCTTCCAGCAAAGTCTTGCACGGCACAGCATCCGGCACAAACGGCATCACACCCACAAACTCCCCCGCCTCCGCCACCTTTCCGGACCTCCCCAACACGTCCACCATGCAGATATAGTGATCCAAGCTCGCCGCGATCCTGTAGTCGCCAGCCATGGCCACGAAGTGGTACCGCGCGTCCTTGGCCAGGCCCGCGTGGCTGCACGCCGCCAAGACGCTGATAAACGTGACGTCCGTCGGCGGTATACCATCGAGAGCCATGACGCCAAAGAGCTCCAACGATTCCTTGCTGTGGCCGCTCTGCGCGTAGGCCGCCATCATCGCCGAGAAGAGCACCAGATCTCCGCGCTGGGACGCTGCAACCGCGTCGAAGATGGCCCGAGCTTCCGCAAGCTTGCCACACTTTCCATACATGTTGACGAGCGAGGTTCTCACGGCCGGATGGTTTAGCAGCTGGTTCTCGCCAGAGCGTTCGGATTCTTCGTCCGGTGGCGAGCTGGGATGGAGTGGTGCAAGCCTCGAAGACGCAGACCAGCGTGATCTCCTTCGCTCGGCCGCCTTCCAGGTCCATGAGGAGGAAGAGCATCACTCCGGATGAATTCTCTCCGCAGCGGACGTAGGCCGAGATCATCGCGTTCCAGGGGGCAACGAGCGAGAGCTTGTCCGGCATCGCGTCGAACGTAGCCCGGGCTTGATCCAGGAGATTGTTTTGCGCGTAGGCTGCCACCATCGTCGTCCACAGCACGCCATCTCTGTGCTCCATCCTCTCGAACAGGCTCCTGGCGACCTCCATTCGTCCACATCTCCCGTGCATGCAAACGAGCGCGTTCCCGACCGTCACGTCTTGCCAGAGGCCACTTGAAGTCACTGCCGCGTCGATCTCCTCCCCGGCTGCCGAGTTCTTGAGGTTCCCGCAAACGTCGAGCATCGTCACAAAGGTAACTTTGTCCGGCAGCTCGCGAGCTTCCAAGTTCATGATCGCGAAGAGCGTTAGAGCTTCTTGGAGGTGTCCGCTGTGAGCATAGCCTGCCAAGAGGGTGTTCCAGGAGGCCGTATTCTTCAGCTCCATTCGATCCAATAAGGCTCTAGCTTCCTGGATTTCACCGGCTTGGATGTAGGCAGCGATCATTGTGTTCCAGGAAATGATACTCTTCCGCTTCGTGCTCTCGAAGAGCTCCCTGGCTTGTGGCAAGTGTTTGTTCTGAGCGTACGCTGTGATCATCGCGTTGGTAGCCACCACGTCTCGGCTAGGAAGCGCATGGAACACCGCCAAGGCATCGTCCAGGCTTCCACACTTCCCATACATGGGTGGCGACCATGATATCCGACTGGAAGCCACTCTCGATCACCAAGCAGTGAACTATCCTGGCCTGAGAAAGCAGTCCAGCGTTACCACAAGCGTTGAGCACTGCGAGGAAGCTCACCTTGTTGGGCTGGAATCCACTCAAGTCCATCGTCTTAAACATGTAGAGAGCTTCCGCGGGATGCCCGTTCTGGGCATACGTGACGATGATGGTGTTCCAAGAGATGACTGTCCTCTCGATCATCTTATCGAAGAGCATTCTCGCTTCCAGCACACGCCCGACGAGAGAGTAAGCCGTGATCATCGCGTTCCAGGAGGAGGAGCTCTTCAGTGGCATTCGATCAAACACCTCAGCCGCTTCTTGGAGATGCCCGTTCTGGGCATACGCCGCCAGCATCACATTCCAGGAGAACACGTCCCTTCTCTTGAGATTGTTGAAAACTTCCAGAGCCTCTTGCAATCTCCCGCAGCTGCCATACATTCTCACGAGCAAGTTCCCCAGAAATGGATCCTCCCCATGCCCGGAACTCGCTACAAGCTCGTGAATCTTCCGGCCTTCTGCAAGAGCCTTAGCATTGCCACAATGTCGTAGAAGATCTGCGTAAGTTGTAGTGTCCACCGGCCGACCACCAAGCTCCAACCTCTTTACGGCATCCTTGATCCCCGCCCTGTCCATCTGCTAGAGAAGACGATCGCCAGCCGTCGGATAGCAACCCCAGCTCCCATTTGAATGATACCCGTCCGATCATCCCGGCATTCAAGCTTCCTGGAGAACTCTGGCCTTAGCGTCCCACATCCGGCCAAATTCTCCGCGGCCCAGCGAGCAAGCCCAGCATTTGCATGAACCTTAGTTTTCTTGTATATTTTAAACACTTTAGTGTCAAATTATCACCTCTAACCTAAATGTTAATCAAGATTCATAGATATTGAAGAGAGAATTATATAGTCTATGCTTCAGTTATTAATAATTCATCTACCAGAATTTTCTAAATTACACATTATCTATCTTTACATAGAATAATTTGATAGAAATTCTAATATCTAAATTAAGTATTATATATATAGAATAATATGAATAACATTGATTAAAAAGATCAAGAAAATGGAAGAATAAATAAGAAGAAATAAAATTATCAAAATAATATTTCTTTATTCTTTTAAATAATTTAAAAAACTATATTAAAAAAATTAATTTATGAAATTATCACTTGTATTGTTCACAAAATCTATATGCAAGTGTGCATTATAATTTTTTGCCAATTGAGGAGAAAATAAAAATTAAATTTTAAGAATATAAATCTTTTACAAACATAAATATTTTATTTAAATAAAGTAAATTAATTTAAAAATAATATCATTTTAATAATTTTAATATCTAAGTTTTAGGTTTTAATACTTTTGAATGGTACTCTAATCTATTATTACATTTAATCATTATATAATTTTTACACATTGGGGATTGTCTAGAGGTTTCACAATTTTTAATTTTTTTCAAAAAAAAAACTTAATATTTTTGTAACATTTTAAGTTAGATACCAAAAGTTAGATAGCAGTATTTACTTTAAAAATGGTTTTATTATATGCTAATAATTTATTTTAAAAGAAAATTATCTACTTTCTTCACTCTTTAATCATATTTGGTTTTTAATACTAATTTTACTCAATTCCCATTTGTGATATCCTCAGTTCGTAGCTGATGGAAAGCAAGTAGCAAAATAATCATTGTGGCTGCTTTGCATTGAAATACTTGAAATTAAATACAACAAATTAATGTTTTCAATACTTATCTTTATTATCAGTTATAATAATTATAATTTAATAGTTTAATTACTGAACCCAAGCCATATCTTTGAACTGTCTCCTAAGTTGTGAAATTCAACAATCATGGCAGCAAGTGAAAAACATCATGCAACCTTATCAACACATTTGAGAGAACTTCTCAAAGAATTGCACATTGGCCCTAATGACTTTCCTCTACTTGATCCTCTTCATAAACCCAGGCCACTGTGGGATGGTTGTCAGTTGAGCTGTTTGATCATTCACACTTCGTGTGCACATATATGCTACTTCGAGTATGAGCTTGCTCTTGTCAACCATCCTTATTGTTGCACTGCAACAATGTCTACATAACAACGCATTACATAATACACTGTGTCTTGACACTACACTCAAGATTTTTGACATGTATGACAGGTTTCCATTTTCTCCCCTTAGACTTTATGCTTCCATCCAACAGCTATCACAAAGTCACGGTGGACTTTCTAAAGTATATTCGCACACTTGAATATAAGTTTCAAATGTCATGAGAGAAGGTGTGACATAGAAATGGTTCCTTCTTCTTTTCATACAAACCTCACAATAGAAAAGAATGAAAATCGCTACTGCTGTTGCTGGTCTTATTTTGACAATCCTCTCCAGTGGATGTGTTTCGGTGATTGTTCGGCGAGGAGGCCCTGGAAACATTCTTTCGTCCAGCCGCGCGATGATCTTCCGCAAGATTGTGGAAGTTATCATGCGCATCTCCAGGGTCCAGTCGTATTCAGCTGGATTAACATTTGGAGATGCCACTCTGGAGGTCGAAGGTCGTATGGTCTCCATAACAATTGGCATTGCCGAGACGTGGAGGAGTGTTTTGGACGAGCTTCTCATGTGTAGTATCTTCCCATCGCTGGGGATTCTCCAGAGGCCCGGCACAAGGCTGATGATGGGCTTCATGAATCTCTACAATATTCTTGCTAATCTCGAGTTGACAAGGCTAAACTATGCTGCTATGGAGATTATTCACGAGAGGCTCTGGATCAGGTACACTGTGTATGAAGCCTCTGACTCGGACTCGGACTCTCTTAGGATACTCGACCAGTATCATGTGAATCGTAGCAAAAGCCTTGACTATCTACAACTTAGGAATGTTACAGAGCTCTTGGATCGTCCTGGCGACAATGAAGAGCACATACCAGATTGTTGGGTTTATAAGTCTTGCTTGTGGAGTGGGGGGGAGGACTCGGACATCTCACGCATTGATACTGATGGCTATCTTGAATCTGCTGATGGAGTTTATTTTCTCCGAATGCAAAGAGATTGCAACCTTGTTTTATATCTTGGGAATCAGGCGGTGTGGGCAACCAACACGCAGAACTGGGGGAGAGAATGTTACATGAGGCTGCAGTTGAATGGAGAGCTTGTTGTTTATGATGAGAATCGGAAGGTTATGTGGAGCAACAACAAGAACTGTGGGCGCTGGTGTGGTCTTCTCTATGTTATGTGCATCGAGCCATCGGGGCATATTGTTGTGAATGATATAAGAGATCAAACATGCATATGGATAAATTCTTTTTAAATATTCTAGTTAAATTATATTTTAATTAAATTATAGTTTAGACAAAATAAGTTTATATGAGAAAAACTTGTCAAACTCAATGACGTTTTTTGATGAATCGCAAATATTATCTTCTAGGTGTGTGTGTTGCTCCACCAAAAGAAGAAAAGACGTGATCACGACATATATCTTTGGTTTTCCAAAGCTTGGTGTGTCTATGAGTACTTTGAGAACTGTGGATCCTTATCAGGGACATAGGACATCACACAAATAAACTGATTCTCATGGTTCTTGAGAAGAAGTTTCACTGTTAATTAGATTTTATTGCTATCATACGTACTCCCTCAAGTGCATCCATTTAGTTGCTGACCACTTGTTGCCTTTGATCACTGGGCACCCCCCTGAATCCAATCACTTGTTAGAAGCAAAACCAAAGAAAGCATAAGTTTTCTTACCATGCAAACTAAAAGGGTCGAGCTCTGCGTCGGGCGACATGCTCCAGAACAAGAGCGCATCTCCTTTGCGCGGTTTCACAGACACGCCTTTCTTCGCACACTCGGACAATTCATCCCACCATGGAACCGAGCTGCTGTTCACTTTTGCGCTCGGAAACACAGTCTCTCCCCCCTCTTCCACATCCGATCTACAGAAGAGCAAAGGTTATTTAGCAGAGAAGCTAGAACAAACCATTCAAGTTCACTCACAGATACATGAGCACGGTCGCAACTCTCTGTCCACCGTTCTTCGTGTTAACCTTGTCGTGGAAGTAATCGTGATGCGCGTCATACTTTTGGCCCACTTCATAGTGCAGTACTTGGAGACCTTCTCCATGCTCTGCCTAGAGACGCCGACCAGGTGTTTAGACCCGCAAAAACTCTACACGCTGAGAGAGATCACCTTTGGGGATAAACGTGAACTTTGCGATCCTCTCCTCGATCCGAGAGATTATTTCGTCTTGTCCTCGTCGAAGGAAAGTGCCAGAGCTGGTCCGGACCCTGGAAGAAAAGCATTCTCTTTTGAGTTTTTCTAAAGTTCTAGTCTGGAATTTATGATACCTGCTGTCCTTGCTCTTTCCAGTCTGGTTGTCTACGACGGCGGATCTCTTCATATTGGGCTGTGCTAGGCGTATTAAATGATCGCATTCCTCGCTAGACTGTTTGGATCGGATCAATCACCACAGCGTCAGCTCAAAGATCTAGCAGAGCCACGAAGGAAAGGAAATCCTCTCACCAAAAAATTGTGAAAGACGGATGCTCGCGGTTGCCAGGAAATGGTCTCAGTCCACACGGGCCTGGAACAAAAAAAGAGAGAGAGAGAGAGTTACGAAGATGAGAAGAACATGGAAAAATTACCAAACAGAAACACCCACATTTCTAGCAAATCCTTTGGTAGCCGCAAGGTAATATCCGCCTCCGGAGGAGCGATTCCCGATGGAACCCCCAGCAATCCCACCGCCAGGAGAATCAAGAGCAGGAGCGACATGAGCAGGAGCATCGCAAGCACCGTCGTCCACAGCGCGCGCCTCGCACTCTTGCCTCCTTTGATCGCCATGGATGACGAGATCCGGAGAGCTGCAATCGGATGCGCGGCAAGCAAACCGAGAATGCTCACCTCTCGATCGATCGATCGATCCGCTCGATCGTGGAAACCCTAAATCCCTGTAGAACTGTAGTTATAAATGACGCTAACAAACCCTGTTCATGGATTTTAACGGACTCATGGTTTTATCTCCAACACACTTAAATTGTTATTACAAACTTAGGAACGTTATATTTCCCACAAGTTACAAAGAAATACTCCTTACTAAAAGAGAAAACACACTTAAACTAAAGACTAATGGTATCATCTAAACCCGAAATTCCCGTACTGTTTATGATAACTACCATCTCCCAAATCCTGACACCATCCCCCTAAAGTGCTATGCGGATCAAACCAATATTGACAGCCCCTCTGCATAATCAGGCTGGGTACTTGACATAAACCATGGAGACTTTAGGTGGCCTGTCACAAGTCATCTGTTAATATATGTTACTGTTATTTCAAAGTCAACTTGAGCGTGCTGTAAGCATCTTCATCGAGTCTGGGCCTGATCCTGGCTTTGAGAGCGTGTGCCATGAAGTTTACAAAACCCATAACTTCACCCATGGGCTGATCTTTTTCACTGCTTGAGAAATCCCACTCGAAACCATGAAGAAGATTGGAAAGAACAAGTTGGACGGTCCTGAGACCCAGAGGAAGTCCCAGGCAAGACCTCTTTCCAGATCCAAATGGAAGCAACTCAAAGTCTTGGCCGTGGACACCCATGTTGCTGCCAATGAATCTCTGGGGCTGGAACTCCAGAGGATCACTCCAAACTTGGGGGTCTCTTCCAATCGCATAGACATTCACAAGTAGCATTGTGTTCTTGGGGATGTCATAGCCAGCAACCTTGTGGGCTGCAATTGATGCATGTGGTAAGAGCAAAGAAAGAGGAGGGTGGAGACGAAATGTTTCCTTGATGATGGCATTTACGACCTCAAGCTTGGATATGTCTGCCTCTTCGACCATGCGTTTGCGTCCCACAACACTCTCGATCTCTTGTTGAGCTTTGACAATCCAATCTGGGTGGTGAAGAAGTTCTGCCAGAGCCCACTCGCTCACTGTGGATGATGTTTCAGATCCAGCAACAAGTAGATCCTGATCACAAAAGAAATCACAAGTTTCTATACAAATTTTGAAGTTCTTATACTTACCAAGAGCAAAGCTTTGAGATTGAACGCATTGTTTCCAAGGCAAGACCTTGTGATCTCCACGAAATCAGGAACCTCACCGGGACGCTGCTCGTCTAAAACCTTCTGCAAGAAACCATTCATCTTATGCCCAGCCACCCTTGCACGGCCAGCAACCAAGTCGAGCCAGCTCAAGTAGGGGAAATAGTCAGTGATCGAGAATGACGCTCCCACCTCGAGGATCTCATCAATCATATCCATGAAATCCAATGCCTCCTTGGCAATGGCAGGATCCCCCGAGGCCTTGGCTCCAAAGTAGCTCTTCTTCATAAGGATGCGAGTCATGATGTTGAAGTTCAGAACCTTCAAGTGTGATCTCACTCCCACAACCTGGCCAGCCTCAGAAGCTCTCAAGAGCTCGCGACTGAGCTCCCACAGCTCGTCCCGGATGATCTGCGTGTTCATACTGACCCTCGTGGCCGTGAAGAGCTCAGTGGTGCAAAGCTTTCTCAGCTTCTTCCAGTAGTCTCCATGAGCGAAAGTTATGGTTTTGTAATCCGTGACTATGGAAACCACGTTGTTGCGAGGCCTGTAGGCGAATTCCGTGTCGTGGGTCTTGAGAAATGCTTTGGCCATGGCTGGACTGGAAACTACAACCAAGGGGACGGATCCCAGGCGTAAGTGAAGGAGGGGTCCAAACTTCTTGGAGAGCTGCTGGAGTGAGATGTGTGGGAGCCTGCCCAGGAGATGGAAGTGGCCGATGAGTGGTAATCCTCTGGGACCTGGCGGGAGATTTAGTGATTTGCTGGAGAGCCATTGCTTGAAAATGAGAGCTGTGAGAAGGAGGAGCACCACTGCCCAAAACATTTTGGATTGGTAATTGTTTGTCAATACCACAAGCCAAGCTCTTAGCTCAAGCTTGGCTTAGCATAGCTTAGACACGTTTGACACAACGGGTCACAAGCTGAACAGCAATGGTTGGTTGGGCGTGACAGATCTCCAGTGCCGTTGAGAATCCAGACTTTTGCAGTATGACAAAATTCAAGGAGCTTGTGACCCGTTCTTGTGTCTAAGCTATGGCATGTTATTGAGTTATTTTGACTTTTATTTATTGAAAAAGACTTCTAAAGAATTATCTATCATAATAAAGAGTTGCCGAACTTTCTAGGCCGCTGGATTCAGCCAATTGCAGCCGTCCAATAGTGTAAGGTGGTTTTTTTTTACCATGTATTAGCGAATAATTGCACTAATATTTGCTCCTGGCCAATAGGAGGTGGCTAAACCACGTGTGGCAAGAAAGGAAGGCTTAATAACACATGTCACATGCAAATGTATTGATTGTGGTTGCATTTGTCATTTAAACATTTGTAAGTGACTAATTTTTCCATTTTACTTTAGTCACTTACTCACACCTTTGACCATTAAAAGGAGTCTTACTCTCAACTTCCATAAATTTTATTTCGAACTTGGGTTTTTTAGCCCTGAAAATGGCATCCTTGCCACTCAACTTTTGCATTTGGTCCAAGTGCTCCACGTGTCCAATCCCATGTAAGCAACCAAAGGGAACGACTCGAGAGACGATCCATAGGGGTTTAAATATAGAGGGAAAGGGCCCATGAACAAGAGTGCACCCCCTTTTCCAATCGGTTAAGGGTCTTGGGATATTTGGGGTTAAGCGTCCTTGGGTTTGAATAGTACTGGGCTGGGTGACCTCCCGGGAAGTCCAAACTCAGGAGCTTACATCCCATGACTGACACCCCAAGGTACCACTGACATATCAACTTGTTACGCTAAGGCCATGCCCCTTCACCTTGGTCACACCGGTGGTCTAACACTATCTACATCACTGTCCCGTCTCTCAAGAAATGGGTCATCCATCCATGAGTGATCATCCCAGATCAACTCCTTAACATCCTTAGGATGCCCATAGACATAGGCATTAACCTTCCCCAATATCCCTTTTCCGGTCCCTACCAAGTCCTTTTTCTGTCAATGGCTGTGTTCGCCAACACTGCCACTGGATCAAGGCCCACAAGCCTGACCACTAAGTCCCACAATCCTCTAGGACTTCCTCCTCACATGATCGTATCTTTGGTCTCTACACTAGAGGACTGCTCCTTTTCATTTTCACAGTCTGGGACTTTGAGAGACGGGTCATCCATCCATGAGTGATCATCCCAGATCAACTCCTTAACATCCTTAGGATGCCCATAGACATAGGGATTAACCTTCCCCAATATCCCTTTTCCGGTCCCTACCAAGTCCTTTTTCTGTCAATGGCTGTGTTCGCCAACACTGCCACTGGATCAAGGCCCACAAGCCTGACCACTAAGTCCCACAATCCTCTAGGACTTCCTCCTCACATGATCGTATCTTTGGTCTCTACACTAGAGGACTGCTCCTTTTCATTTTCACAGTCTGGGACTTTGGGGTGACATTTCGGAACACCGTGGCTTTACACAAGCCTCGTGGGTACTCTTTTCGCCTTCTGCCTTTGGGTCCTCTAGCCATGGGCTTAAAGTGAGGTTTCGTTGAGCCACGCCTGGTATCCAAGTAGGTAGTGCCACCAACACTTGGATTGGGAGCATCAACCATTTGATCTCCCAGGGGAACTAAAGCCAGCTTTTGAACACTTTACCAAGCTACCCCGCTTGTCGGTCCGTACTCACTTTAGTTTGGGACTTCCCAGTGGTTAGACTATCACCTAACACTGGGTTTGGCCTTCCTAGGCCAAACTGGCCTTTCCTGGCCAAACTGGCTCCATTGGGCTCCAACCCCCACACTCTCTCTATTATACTTTTGGAACCCCCTGTTGCCCCTCTGAGGGATGATCGCTTTGGGCTTTCACCCAACTGCCTGTATTAGTATTCGGACTCGGACTCGGACTCAAACTCGGACTTGGACTTGGTCTCGGTCCCGGTTTCGGACTCGGACTCGGTCTCGGTTCCATCTCGAACTCCATCTCGGGTCCATCTTAGACTCCATCCCGGGTCCATCTTGAACTCCATCTCAGGTCCATCTCGGAATCCATCTCAGGTCCATCTCGGACTCCATCTCGGGTCCATCTTGGACTCCATCTCGGGTCCACCTCAGACTACAACTCGGGTCCATCTCAGATTCCATCTTGGACTCCATCTCGGGTCCATCTCGGACTCCATCTCGGACTCCATCTCGGGTCCATCTCGAACTCCATTTCGGGTCCACCTCAAACTCCAACTCGGGTCCATCTCGGACTCCATCTCGGGTCTATCTCAGATCCATCTCGGACACTTTCACATATCATGTGTTGGTCCTTTTGGGTCCCTTTTTGGAGCCTTGCTTATTGCTTGTTTCGTGCTCACTCCTCGAGCACTTTGTTGAGAGTTCCACTCCCATTCTTGACCTTTCAAGTCGGAGCTTTTAGTTTAAATGTGTTACGCTTGTTTGGCTTTCGCTCCGCTCCGGCCACTACCATATGGCACTTTTTTCGGCTCCACTTTGGGGCCTAGGGATTTTGTGTCTCACAACTCCACCACCCATAGACAAAGTTTGATGTCCTCATCGAACGATAAACTATTTTATAAAGTAATACTAACATGTATTACCCTTTCCATTCTTGGCACCTCGCCAATATTCGTCAATGGTTTAATACTGAAGGCTCACCACGCCTTGCCCATCCTCCAAGAAGCCTAGTCTCTCCAACTTAGAGACTGATTGGACCACTTGTGGTGGTCCTCTCCTTTTATTGGTTTAGTTCTCGCTAACCTGTTAAAAACACCATCTTTATCTTAGCCCTACTACTCCTTCTCGAGTAATCTCAATTTCCATTGATATAACCTTTGCACTTTGGAATTTTTACTTTTGACTTCTCAAAGTCAATTTCTTAAGTGTCTCCGACACCTTGCATTGTACATATTATGCAACCCCACTTCCCCATCCTAGGAAGTTCTTTACTTGACGGCACTATCATCCTCTCTTCTATTTCGTGCCACCTTGGGCATTAAGTTCCAGTTTTCATAATTTGTGTTAGGGTTGTTCATGGCCCTATCATTTGGCTACCTCACCACTCCCTCCCTTGGAGCTTCCACTTTCGCTAAATCGGAGCAATTGGGAATCCATCCTTAGAAATATATTGCCTTTCCCACAATTCGTTAACACTCAACATATTAGTGGTCTTGGCTTAACTTTGCCTTTTGGATTCTTTCCCTTGATTCCCATGGCTCTTTCCTTTGCCATTAGTTTTTTGCTCTTATCCTTGATTGTTGCACCCAACAATATCGGATCACTACCTCCATTCTCAAGGTATCTTTTCGGTTCCATAGCAAAAACTTTGTTTTGCCAAGTCTAGAGGGTGTTCACCCCTTCTTTAGCATTTTCTATCGTGGGCTCTATCCCTGGCGCAACTTTGGGACCCTCCCACAGATCTCTTATAAAGACTACTTTCTTTGGACTCCCAATGCCATTGCATTGTCACAAATCATTTCTCTTAGGGGTTCTTCCCACTTGGTCATCTTGACTAAGCCACACCATCATCAATAGTTCAAATCAACACTTTGAAATAAAAACTTTATCCTTCTTACCTCATAAGGACTTTGTTTTTGTTTTGGCTATAAGATCACCTTGTGATTTAACCTTGGCGCCTTAATAGGTTTGCCGATAGGTAATAAGTCTTCCAGACCTTTAAGTTGTTTACCATGACCCCGGGGGCATCCCCCACACTTGGCAGTGCACCCAAGCCAGCCCTTCCGGCTAAGGGTCCATAGCAACTGACATTGGGTGTCCCTATCTCATTCACCACGTCCTTGGTGCCACTCGCACCAAAGTGTTCAAGTTAGATATGCCGAACCACATTAAGCAATCTAACCATGCATCATGACTCTGGGGCATCCTCTACTTGGCAGTGTGCCCAAGCCAGTCTCCTTATTGAGAGTCCATGACCACCAAAAAATGAATGTCCTTATATTCCAAACCATTACCGCGCCCTAATGAGTTGGGACTCAAACCCAAGCACTAGAGGGTCGAGACTCGAACCCAACCTTCGTATATGCATCTACGGAAAGCATCATCCAAGATGCCTGGCGTGACTGCACCAACTTATAGTTAAAACACGCTACAAATCATAATTTAGGAACTTAGTTCCTTTGCACTGGCAAGTCCTCTCACTTGACAAATCTACTCCTCCATGCTTGGCCTCACAGGCCACCCTTTTAAAGTTGGCTCCTTCAACTAGGGTATTTGTTCCCCTGACTTGTTAATCTCACTTAATAAATCATTCGACTATCGTAATATGGTTCATGCATAAGCGTGAAAGTCCTTAACCATCGACTTTGGTTTAAAGTCCTCTCTTTGAACACTCGGGAATTACTTCCCTAGCCTTAATAGCCTTGCCTTTTGGCAAGCTTCAAGACCACTGTTCTGTTGCACCATTCTGATTTCGCGCGCTCTATGAACCATTTATACTTGGCTTTCTAAGTACTAAGCTACCTAAAATTGTCTTTGGGAACCTTTGAAGGAACTTTTTCCCTTAGCTTGGTAAGGCCTCTCATTTCGCAAGCTTTTAAATTGCCATATGGTCTAACATAGACAATCCCATGCTTTAGACTCTCCATGGCATCACGGTTGCTAATAATAACATGCTTAAGCACCCATTTGATTCTCCACTCTCAACTAGCATAACCAACCTTAGTTATGCAATTTGATTCTTACAGTTTAATTTTATCCCCTTACTACTTGCCTTTGGCCTCATACATTTCCTTCAGTTGTTCTCCTCCAGACTGGGAGGATAATTTTGCACTTTCTACTATGTCGTAGCAAGTATTCTTAGAGATGAATCTATCCGATAGCCTAGGGAGTGGTTCCTCAATTCGATAGTCTAGGGAGTGGTTCCTCAACTTATAATCCCACATACCGGGACTAATGTTGCTACTTATGGGCTTTTATATGCC